CTTGTTTATGATAGTTACAACGGCCTGATTATCCACATAGAAAATGATTCGTTTGTTTTTAAGATGTACTCCCCATATATGAAGTGATATAATAACTGGTAAACGTTCCAAGTACGTAATGTCCTTCAAGAAATCATGTTCTACCCATTCTTTTGGCCAACAGTTTTGTGCCCATTTTCCCTAAAAGTAAATGCCAAAACCTCTGTTTTGACCCCCGGCACTATCAATCATGACCGTGACTCCGTTATATTGGTCTAAAAAAGAGCTCCAAACTTTGATGTCTTCACGCATGTTGCATGATACCCGTACCCTGTGGTGTGCTTTTCTTATGTTACAAGTAGCATCTATTAATCTTCGGCAAAAAGCCCTTCCAGGGGCAATAACTAGGCATGCAAAGTTTAACAACCCTATCAGGGACTGTAACTGACACAATGTTACTTTTTTTTAATGTAGAAAGCTGCAAAGTTTGTTTTAAATTGGTCAGTTTTCCCCAGGGAGCCTCATTTCCATTTTTAAAGTATCAAATTCAATACCTAAGAAGGTCAAAGATTCTGTGGGTTAAACGGTTTTGTCTTCGGCTAATCCCAAGCTGAACAAATTTCCTTGAACGTTTCAAGTGTTTTCTGACAAGTTGGACTATTTGCTTCGCTTCCAAAAAGCTGATTGAGGCTCCCTGTTGTAAACAACGATCAAAATAATACTTACCATCAAAAATAAAATCCAACTGGTCAAAATCAGAAGGTGAAACCCTTAATAACGAAATGCATTTTTAACGTCGGACTTTGAAAGTTTTCCGGCTATTCCTATATTTTTGCACGAACCTAACGGCGTCGTCAATACCCGAATACTGCACAGCGCAATATTTCTCATCTATAAAGTCATTCAGTGAGTTATGTAGGGGATGGGAAAGATTATGAATTAAACGATAATCCCCGTTCTTCTTTTCAGCCAAAAACATAGGAGAAATGCGTAGAGTTGGCAAAGGTGGGTGGTCAAAAAGACCGTTCATTCTACCTAGAGTAATCTCTTTATTATTTTTTTCTCTGACAAGTTCTGGATGTACAGTCACACATTTTGAATTGTTTGCATGAACAGGTAACCGTGAACCGGAATATTGCAATATGAAACCAAATCGAAGACCATTTATTAGTTTGCTGTTGCTTTTGATGGGTAAAATTTTAGATTCTTCTACTTCATTCACATAAATAGGGAAGTATCCCAAAAAGTACAACTGGTAATCCTTACCTCTTTTTGCAGGCCCCATTAGGGTGGTTTCCAGAGCACCTGAAACATTTTTGTTCAAATATACATGCTGCCCAATAAGTACATCTGCCGAAGTTGTAACCCTTGCATGGTGCCGAGATCTTTCTACCTGTTCAGATTTAGTATTTTGGACATACTGTGATCCCTTTTGACCCCCACAGAATGATTAGTATCTGAATGAACAAATTTCGGAGGTGTAGAGACGTATATTACCAACAGCTCCATGTCCAGCTCTGTCCAAGATAATTGTGGAATCTAGCCTTACGAAGGCGGTATTGTTCATCATATATAGCCCAACCTGAGCCAAACCCTCTAGATGAAGCTTGTCGAACGTTATACATGTATTTTAGGAACGTTTGACCTTTATTTGGCCATTTTTCTACCATTGTATCCATAAAGATGATGAAAGCAGATGTCCACACGTGCAAATTTGTAATGGTGCTCTTTTGTGGAGTTATAGTTAATAGTCCCCCTTTTACTGAAAGATCGCCATTTAAATGGGAGTCTGTGGCTAAATCTTTTGCAGATTTAAGTAAAACATTTAAATTTTATCATCGGTATAAGGACATCATTCGTAAATATAACTCAACATGCAGATATCTTATACGTTCGGGTATTTCACATCCAATTTTTTATGGTGATATTATTTACAAAGCACAAAAATGTCAGTATTCACCTCAAAAGCTAACAAAACCTTTAAACAGACTTATTAAGAAGGGATATAGTTACGATACTGTTGTCAGGTCATTAAAGATTGCATATTTTGGCTTTAATATTAATTCACTTATAGGGTCTTTGCATCGGAATTAAACACATTTATTCTAAAACCAGTTGTTGGCATGACAAGGGTTATGTTCTTCTCATATATTTTATGACGGTATAATACTAAACCCCTAACAGGAGGGATTGTGCCTGATATTCATATGATGCAGACATAATCTTATAATCAGTTTAATTGAGGTCTGGAGCTGGCATGTCAGTAACTGCTAGTAGTCTGTTGTTATTTATGAATTATTGTCATTTTGTTTATTTTCTTTTGTTTCCTATTCTGACATCGGACTCGGACTTCTCTTATGTTGAGTTTTACTGTACGTACTGTTGTGCGTTTGTTTTTTCTACATTGGCTAGAGGTATAGGGGAGGGTTGAGATCTCAAAAAACGTGTTTAACCCCGCCGCATTTTTGCGCCTGTCCCAAGTCAGGAGCCTCTGGCCTTTGTTAGTCTTGTATCATTTTTAAATTTAGTTTCTTGTGTATAATTTGGAGTTTAGTATGACGTCCATTATCACTGAACTAGTATACATATTTGTTTAGGGGCCAGCTGAAGGACGCCTTCGGTTGCGGGAGTTTCTCGCTGCATTGAAGACCCATTGGTGGCCTTCGGCTGTTGTCTGCCTTGTGGTCGGGTTGTTGTCTCTTTGACACATTCCCCATTTCCATTCTCAATTTTAAATCAAGATATTCTCCGGCCCAAATTTTCTCCTTAATTTTAACCGGTATATGGGCACCTACAGGGTCAAAAACACTTGATGTGTACACTGGCGTTACACTTTCGTGTACAATGTCTAAAATAAGACCCTGTGAATAACCCCTGTTACAATCACTTACACCTGTTGTATTGTTAAACATACCGGTAGTGGCTGTATGTTGTCCTGGTACTGGGTTTTGGTCCATTCCAGCCATCTCCGGTTGGTCATTGGCCAAGGAAATACTGCCTAGAGCCGACTGCTGTCTTTGGAATGGTATCGGTATAGGTTCCCTCTCCGGCCCAAATCCCGATTGTTCTGGTAGTGGTAGGGTACTGTTTCTAATTTCTTCGCTTCTCTGCCTCTGGAATGGTAAAGTCATTCTTTGCGGTTCTGTTGGCGTTGTTGCATGGTCTGTCGACAGATCCTCTCTCCTACTTTGGTCTAACGCGTCGTCTTTGTTTGTCTTTTCTTCTTTTTAGTTGGTGATTTTGACTTTCCTGTTGGTTTTTTGTGTCTCTTAGGTGGTTTCATGTTGATTTTTAGCTAACTATGTTGGCAGCTTTTGCACTCGCCACTTGTTTAACAACGTATGAATGACGTCACGATATGACGTATTATAGAATGTAACTAAATTCGGAAACAATTAGGATTGATTCCGGAAAAAACGGAGTTCTACTTTTATTAAACTAATTTATCTTAATATGATAAACTTAATTAAAATGCCTAATTTACAATTATCAGACTTTTGTAGATATTAATAAAAATCTCGAATAATGGCAAGACGTCAGTGATAAAATTTTGAGGTACTTTAGTGAATTTATTACCGTGTCCTATTTTCAAATGTTGATTGGTAGGAAGAAATGTTCGATTCTTTGTAGCTGCGTTTTAATCATTTAGATTGGCAAAATTATCTCGTGCCGATTTCATTAAAAAAACATATTAACAAAAATTCCAACCTCCAGGTAAATTCAAAAAGGGAAGTCCATAAAAACCGTCAAAATCAACCGTTCGACTTTATCAACCAACGGAACGATTGGAAAACAACTGTTATTTTCGTGACTTATAAGATTTGAACATCGGTAAACTACTGTTGCCTTAATTTACCTCATTATTTAGCATCTATTCTATTATACATAATGATGACTTGATATTGAAATTGTAACGATTAAATGTCGAATTTAATCACCCTTGCACCTGCATTGATACTGCTCACATTCTCTGGCACCTGCATTGATCCGGCTTTTGGTATGACGTGTAAATTGAATAATATTATTCAATTTTCAGTTTTCTGTGTTATGTTTTATGCAACGTTTTTCGTCTCATCGACTTTTTTCTTTTGGCCATGATGTTGTTTGTCTTTCTTCAGTTGATTAATTAAGTAAAAATTAAAACTAAGGTTCAAACTCCCTCTGGCATAATTGACCTTTGATTCTTTCGGATTGGTGTTTAGGGTTCGAACAGAGTTTACTAGCATTTGTCGATACCGTGGCTGCTGGACTGTTAGTCCATGGGAGTACATATATCATCTACTCAGTACTCATTGCTTCGAAACGATTTATAACCTACTATTCCAAAATTCCCCGTTGACTGATTTAAAAATTATTAGAAATTATGGTTGCAACTCCCTATGGAAAATGTACCTTAGATATGATTGCAACTTTATTTTGATATATATATATACACATATATAGAGATGAAGATCACCTTTGATTTTGAGGTCAGTTTGTCGATGTCCTATTTACTAAAAATATACTAAAATATGCCAAAAATATGTTTTCCGTTGGTAGATCAAGTACATATGATTGCAGCTTAACTTGGATATATTGTCTCATATAATAAGAGGAAAAACTTGATTGTTTTTGGGCTACTTTTTTAAGTTCAATGTCATAGTTAAAAAGAATACCCCAATATTTGCAAAGAAAATTTTTTAATCAATTTAGAATTGTGATGGTAACTTATGTAGTGTGGTTTTCTGTCTTTCTCCCTCATAACTCTGTTGAAACAGTTTTTTGGTGTTAACAAAGTCCGTATAGTATGAACATGTACGAGCGTAAAGTCAAATAGATTGTGTAATACAATAGTATTGTCTTAAACCATAACAGACATGAATCATACCTCAACAGAGCATGCCATCAGGTTACTATAATGTTTTTCACTTTATATTTGTACGTACAGTATGTGAACTTGCTCATTACAGGTTACTAGTATTTAGTTTGATCACGTATTCAAGATTATGATGTGTAATATCTACCAACATGATATATTTTAGATGCCATTTGAAGAATTCATCAAGGGAGCAAGTGATGTCTGTTATCGACCTTTCTCTTGGTCTTTCACGTCGAGTGATTCTGATGCAGAGGATTTTGTAGATCAAGACAGTCTTACCAAAAAAGAATATTCTCGAATGCTGACTTATTTAGGGGAAGTGAAGAAGGAAACATCCCAGAAAGTATTTCTGAATAACCCGCCGAAACAATTTAAAGACATTTTTCACGATTTGAGAAAAATTCAACGTGGCATCCAAGGTACGAGTATCAAATTAGAAAAACGTATTGCACACATTATTTATACTGATAAAATTCTACCTAAAATGTTTTAATAGCATATTCGGACCAAATTCTACTAAATGATATTACTGGAAATTTACGAATTGTGTAATTTAGATTTAGAATAATTTTGGTGCCTTTGATTGATTAAAAAAATTAATTTCTATATTTTTTTACCTGAACATTTCTTTTTCATAATTTCAGAATCACAAAGTATTGATATTACTCAATTCTAGTGCTATTCAGTGGACATTTATCAAACTATCTACACAAAAAGTACATTTCTATGATATGTTATGCATAGTTTTTTTATGTTTTAGTGTCACAGACTATTGACTTCAGTCAATTTTATCGCCATTCAAGGTTGACTTATGAATTCCTTCTCACGGACTTTGGATCGGAGAATCGTGTAAAAGCAACCAGAACATTTTATAAAGTCTTAGATGATTCTACTAAAATTTCGCCTGTGTATACAAATATTAGCAGTGGTAGTAAAGGTGAGGGTGTAAATGTTCCTGGCGGGGACTATGACTTAATGACAATTCTGGAGCAAATACAAGTAAAAAACGATGGTTCTAATATTGAGGAAGACCGTCCCATCCTATTGTTTGATAATCGTCATTCATATCCCGGTTTTTCACATCTAAAAATTGGGCCAAACCGATTTTCGAAGGAATTATTTACTTCTTGGGGAGAAAATACATTTAATGGACCTCTTATTTCAAAAAATAGATTTAAGAATTATTTTCTGTCGCGATATCGTGATAGTGACTGTATGATTCATGGTCCATGTATTTCCGACTCGTTTGGATATGTTGACCATCTATTTTGCTTCAGAGCTATGTTATGGCCCGATGTTGCAGAGTCGTGGTTAACAAGAAGTAGATCATCAATATGGCCACCAAATGATGTTATACTGAATTCTGTCAGTCATGGAATCTTGCTAGTACCGATTGGCAGCAAATTTGGCTCAACTGAAGATTGTTCTTTCGAATGGCGAATATCATTCTCCTTACAAGAAAGAGATCTGATTCATTCATTCAACTACATACAGGTATTGTGCTACACAATATTTAAATACTTGAAAAAAGATCTTCTGGATGAATCACGATTATGCTCTTACTTTATCAAGACAACTATATTTTGGTTAAGTGAAGAGATCGATAACAATAAGTGGATACCAGAAAATTTCATACAGTGCATTCATGAAATACAGCGTCGTCTAATGTATTGGTTTAGGTACGGATATTGTCCTCATTACTTTATAGCAGAAAACAATCTATTCGAGGGACTGCTTCCTGTAGAAAGAAAAGTCATAGAAATTGCATTGCATAACCTATTTCCATTGCTATTTCAAAGTATTTTCTACCAAAAATCTAATTTACACTTCACAACTTTTAACGATTTTAAAGAAATAAACACTCCGTTTATTGAGAAAAGTAAATCTATTTTCATATTACTTAAAATAATGCGAACGAGTTTGTCTAGGTGCACTTTGAATCAGAGTAGAAGTATAGTGTACAAAGCTTTATTCAGACTTTTACATAATAAACTTCCTTATTTTACTAAAGGTTTGTATATGCTTTTATTTTGCTATGCAAATCAAGTTTTTCCACAAAATCAACCCATGGTATTTCATAAAGAAAACAAAAGGATGTACTCGAGTTACAGGCAGTGTATGGCTCATTTTCTTATTGGAACCAAAGTCGACGCCATGAACGGCTGGTTATTACTAGCTTCATATTTTTACAAAATGGGCAAGCCTTTATACACCCTCAAGATTACAGAGATGATTCTTGCAAAATCGAGAGAAGATAAAATGTTAATTTCTGATGGTTATCATGAGGACGTTATGTTAACACATTTAGAACAAGTGGCTGCCACCAAATGGAAGCATAAGTTGTCATTCTTGAACTGTTTGAAAAGTTATTGTGTAGACATGCTTTATGTTATACCAAGGTCAACACTGAATCTTGAAGAACTATTACCAGATGTTAATGTTAATGTTAAAACTATTCCACCAGTTGTATATGCACATGTTTTACGTTTTGTGTGTTATAATGCTAATGGCAACAATTCTCGAAAGGAAAGAGAAATATGCGACATAATTAAAACATGCCGCAATAATTGTTTTCTAGGAGATTGGAGGGGGAGGGCTACTGTATATGCAGTACTAGCCAAGATTTATAAAACATTGAACGATGATGCAGCTGCGGATTATTGGAAATCGCATTTATTCAGATACAATAAGAATCACCCTAAAATATAGACAGCAAGCCCTAGGAAACGTCCGCCATTCTGAATTCCAATTTTTGGAAATTTATATGTTTTCGATTCATACTTTCCGTTTGAGACGGAATTTGTGGTCTGTCTTTCTATTTCTCAATAATATGATAGAAAATGTAATTCAAATAAGCCGTCCTAAAATAAATAAGTTGCAATTAATATAATCAAATAAACAGTTTTATGCGAAACTGTCTGTTTGTTTTTTAATTATGTTTTCACATATATATTAAGAATATATATATTCTACAGAAGAAGAAAAAAATAACATTTTTCTCGAATTCAGATAACAATCTCCTGTTCCTATCATTCCATTTAGAACTAAATGCGGAAAGAAGGACATTGTATGACAGTGTATTTTGTTTCTCTCACACATCGATATCAACATGCATGTGAACTGAATGTACACAAACAAAGTTGATTCTTAAAGCACAGTTGTCTGAAAGCAATGGCGAATTCAACTGTTAGTCTATGTGGATAAATCCTTCTCTTTAGCATTGAATATTTTCAACGTTAATTGAAACAAAAAGTAGTGGTTATTTTATAATTTGTGTACGTATCCTATCCATTGTGACGATCGTTCTTTTTAAAAAATAGTTTATTACAAAATCTATTACAACAACGAATACATTCAACACATTCGTGTTGCCTTTATTGTTGCTTATACTTGATACAATCAGAAATTATTGTGAGATCACTGGATCTAAAGAACAAATAATGCTTTGAAGCCCTTTTTAAAATTCACCAACCACCTCGTTATTCTCGTGGTAGCATGTTAGCCTACAGAGGGGGATGTCAGTTAATTTATCTCTTGAAGTTTTGTTTAAAATTTCTTTCTTCCTAATATCTCCACCTCGAATATCACATAACTTTTGTCAAATTGTTCTTAATTTTTATATGAGATTTGGACATCGGTAAACTACTATTGCCTTTATTTAAAATTCATTTTTATCTTATCTTATATGATTGATGAATAAAAAGTGATGCAAAGTATACGTCAATGAGTCAGCGACCGAAAGAAAAAGTAATCAAAGCCATCTAATAACATTACCTATTCTAGTGCACCCGATGCGTATTTCGACAATTAATGTCCCTCCATCGATGCTAAAAGGGTTACATACAGTCAATAAACAGTTGTCTTTACAATAAATCAAGCTAAGTTTATTGCAGATGTGAATTAATTCAACAGAAACAACTGAAAATTTGCAATGAACACCCAATAACAAAAATCATTATGACATTGCATACAACAATTACTAAAGAGGTCTTTAAATAAGTATCTGGTTGGATCAAACTACTTTTTGACAACTCAACCTATTCATTTTTTAATCTCGTTCAGTTGATTAGCGAAACGTAAATTTAAGAAAAAAAGTATAAACCAGGAAAATAATTTTAATCTAAAATAAGATAGAAAACAAATTATACTTTATTAAAGAATGTTAAAAGTAACTGAAATCCAGCTTAAAGTACGTAGTTTGCTAATAAGAAATCATGCCGTCCTTCATATAATATCGAATGCTATACTTAATAAAAGACTGTATTTAGCAACGCCGTAAACAGTTCAGAGACAATGAGATGACAAACTGTACAGAATAACAAAGGAGACACAAAGTATTGCTTCAAACTATAAATTACCGTTTTTTACCTTAATAATAAGTTTATCAAAGCAAAACGACAGATTTCAAAGGCAGTTCCAAGAAATGGTTAGTTTTATAAACAATATTATCGTAGGTATAACATATTTTTGATTCAAAATGTTCTCCCTTCGACTGGATTGAAACCAATGCTGGTTTGACATCAAAGCAACACCGCCTGCACTGTATCAAGTGCACTACACAACTCGGCCAACTAGACTATATAAGAATACAGCGTTCGTTAGTCGAGAAATGCCTTTCCTCTTCGGTTATATCTAGGGTTATAACACAGTACATGATGTACTGTGGCGTGTAGATAGTATACCTTGCAGACCAGCTGTTTGTATCTTTCAAGAAACAAATATAACAAACTGCAATCGGCGACAGTCACTGAATTCCTGCTTGACTGAATACTGAAAGCTGATGATAAGTGAAGCTGCTTCATGTGCAACACAGCAGATTATATGTTTAAACTGTATCAGGTCTTCAAATATGATCACTATATACACATATTTGAGTTTTAAATGATGACGAAAAAGCTCGTCATGATACTAGGCTTATAATTTGGTACGCCAGACGCTCATTTTGTTTACATCAGCCTCATTAGTGGCGCTCGAATCAAATTTATTGGAAGTTATAAACACTTTTATATTTATAGTTTCTTATATGTAAATAAATGTTTCCTTTCTTGTTATTTCTTAGATGGTGTTTACTACTGAATACTGAACCCTGATGATTCGTGAAGTTGCTTCATGTGTCATTTGTTAATACGTTTGTGAAATACTTGTAATGTTGCTCGTTTGGTATTAAATGTAAATCTTCTGTTCATATACGAGGAAAATAAAGATGATCAATCTATTAATCAATATAGGCAATCAAATGACATTTAAAACAAATAATGGACACGTGCCTTCAAACATCAGATGCTGCCTATATAATAACATATATGCAATTAAGGGGGCATAACATTATATATAGCAAATCATAAGAAGGAAAAAAACCAAGACACTACCAAAACAAAACAAAACGATGGAAAGACAGGCAACAATCTAATAAACACTACGCAGAAAACTAAAGACTGAGTAACACGAATGTCCAAATATACCACTGGTCCCTTTAAAGAAAATCTTTCATTATTGGCGATTGCTTCTGATGGATGAAAAGGGCTCTTCTTCCCATGAATATTTCTCCCTGTTTCTCCTTGTTGGTTACTGAATTTTGCATAATATGAGCAACATTGTGGGTTCCACTAGAGGATTGATCATATTTCAAACAAAGTACTAATTAAAAAATGTTTAAGCCAAATTTAGTGTATACTACATGTGCATTACAGAAAGATCTAAGAAAGGATGTCACGATCACCTCAATACATCGTATCATACATACAGTCATTCGTAAAGTACTGAAAACATTGTCTGTAATCATCAACATTAATACCGGTTAACCGGTTAATCGGTTGGAAGATTATCCGAGGAACCAGTTAGTTAAGAATGTTCGATTTGACAACATTAGTAAAATCATTATACGAAATGGTAATTTTTGGTACGAAATGGCAACGGTACGAAATAAATAGTTTCTAATTTGAATACCAAATAAGACCCTTTCCAAATCTTTTCTTTGTTTTCAAGGGATTGGTCTGTACTGTTATTGCTTAAGTTTTTATTGTTTGAGCTTTTCATTTCATTTGAAATGTCAATGTTGTTTTGATCGATAATATTCTGTCTATCATCTGCCGTGCACAGAATATGTTAATTCAAGCCTACACATTCGAGAAAGATTTAAGGTTAGATGATTGACATGAACCGCTGGTTTATATATAAATCGGATTAGCACGGCAAGTGTCACTAGCGAAACAGGATCATCCTACCATTCCGGAGCACCACCGATTTTTGCTGGAGTTCTTGTTGCTCTATCTATAGTTTAAAATATAGTGCTTTGTTCACTTTTTTTGTTGTTTTTTTATGCCACTTTGTATGTTTGTTTGCCACTTTGGTATCTTTTTTCTCTTTTTTATTTAAGCAGAGATTATCGTTTATTTTCTTTTAATATTTTTGATACAACTATATATAATGAGACGTCATGAAACAATTTAAGTAAGGGGTTTTCTCTCTTAAGTCTAATTAGACGAAACATGTAACTAATTTCAAATGCAATTGGTATTGTTACTCATGCTTTAGCACCGTTCTTGTAATCTGTACCAGATATATGTATAGAGGTATATATGAAAAGTTTTTATAGTTCCATTGTGTAACTGTGTTATCAAATCAAATTGTTGTGATACTTAATATTAATCGTATGATGCCAATTGAGCGTCTTTTTTAATTTGATAGATATAGTCTTTTTTGTTCTTTATGAGTGACAATTTAGAGTTATTGACACCTTATAATAGCTTATCAGAATAAGAGATCACATTTATATGGCTACCCGTTTTTATCTTAATCATAATTTCAAGATATATGATAAAGTTGAAAAGATATCTTGTAAACTAAATAAGATAACTTATAAACTATTAAAATAGATTTGTTATAAACTAAATAATATATCTTATAAACTAATAGAGATATCTTATAAACTGATAGAGATATCTTATAAACTAATATAAATAAACTTTTAAACTGAAAGACATATCTTATCAACTAAATAAGATATTCATATATTAAATAATATATCATACATAAACTAATTAAGCTATAACATTAACGGTACTAAATGCGCATTTCGACAATGAATATAAAAATAAGAAGATGTAGAATAATTGCCAATGAGACAATTCTCCACCAGAGACCAAATGACATAGAAGTTAACAACTATAGGTCACCGTACGGCCTTCAACATTGAGTAAAACGACAACCACTGAATTACAGGCTCCTGTCTTAGGATAGGCACATACAGAATGTGGCGGGGTTAAAAATGTCAGCGGGCGCCAAACCCTCCCCCTAACCTGGGACAGTGGAGTAACAGTACAACATATGAACAAATGATAAAAATAGTTGAAAATGGCTTAACTCATCAGATCGTTACAAAGCAGAAAAACAAGTAACAAAAACACAGACCGGACGTGGCAGTGTATTTGAACAATAAAAAAAGACACGAAGTATGTATTTTCAGTGATGCTCGAGGCCACAATATTTAGAAATCAATAAATAATTATAAACAAAAATAAAAGATGATAAAATCAGAAATAACAAACAATAGAGTCAAAAACAGGCAAGGAATCAGAGCTTCCCATGAGGGATTTATATTCCTTAATTTAAAATGATTTTCAAAATTCTGTTACATCAAATTTGGATAACACAATATCCGTATTTTCATTCCAGTACCGAAGTAATGGCTACTGGGCTAGTGATGCCTGTTGGAAGTTACGCATAACGTTCTCGCTGCCGCTATTCATTGTAACGTCACTTACGTGTGACGTATTGATTACAGATTTTGAATAGAGATCCATACATACTAGACGCCTTTGTGATTGTTAACCTATAGTTGCCCGATTTACCCACTTAATGATATTAGTGCCAAGTGACCAGGATGAATTTGAAGCTGATATCGATACGTGCGGG